TATTTTTTCCTAGTTTCCCGAAGCTTCCATTTTTTATGCCAAGTCCTCATCTGCTGCCGGCCAACTTCCTTCCATTGTTGACTTCTCTTTAATGCCCCTGCTTTTTGTGGCTTTTCGACTCTGTCGCTCTTCACTCATTTCATTTTCGGACATTTACTTAGTCTATAAGGTTGCCAGTTGGCATTTCCCTGCCCGCTTTCCCGAGACTTTCCCCGGACTTTCCCCGGACTTTCCCCGGACTTTGACATCTTAAAGTTTATCAAATAGTGGCCACAACTTTTGCACAGCTTTTGTGTATGTATATTTTCTGCGGTCATGCTTTGTGGTCGTATCTTCTTCTCCCCGCTTCTATATTTATTTATGCAGATCTCTCTTTTTCCATAAACTTTTGTTTGCTTTTGTACACGGAATGCATAACTGGGTTAGCTTTGGGGGTGTTTTATTTTCACCAGCATTTTTGTGAAGCAATTAAAAAGTATTATTTCTGCGTATAACGGGGCGTAAGCTTAATTTCCAGCAGCTCGCGGGAGAAATTTTTTAATTAGAGTGCAAATTAATTGGGAATTCGCCTTCGGTCCACTGACCCACTGAAAATCGGTTGCATTTCCGGAATATCCCCGACCAAGGACAAGGGCAAGTTCATTAAGTTCTGGCTTTGCCGCCCAATGGGTATTCGCCTTAATTAATTTTCCGACTGCAGCCTGTCGAATTACACTGCATGTGATATGTGCTTCCTAATCAGCGTATAATCTTTATGGAGAGTGACGCACATCCATGCCTCAACCAGGGGCAATCAAACGCCCACCGGAATACCACCGATGCTCTGCATAAAGCATAAATCACACAAAACTATTCCCCATATTCCCGACACTTACATAGGCGCTTATCGTGGTTTTGGCGGCTGATTGCCACTGCCATTGCCACCGCCGACTGCCTGTCTATTTGCTGCCCTTCAATTTTATTCAATAAGTTCCGTTTATGACTCGGACACGCTCTCGCTCCTCTATCTATCTAACCACAGAGATAGATATCCCCCTGGTTATTGTAACTAATATCGAACATTCCTTTTAATTGAATTTCACGCGCTAACCATAAAGTTACAGCGTGTCCAGTTCGCAACTTTATGGCAGCTCTGGCTGGATATTTATATCCCTGTCCATAGTCTATATATATACGTCTCCTTTAATTGCTTCGCTTCTTGTTATGGCAATCGTAAAATCGGGCTCTGTTATTGCAGTGTTCCTAGTTTATAATAATAATAATAATAATAACTGTAATAATGGACAGTGACATCAGTGCGTATACGTTATGAGGGAGGGAGGCGGGAGAGCTTGTAAAATTAATCGAATATCGTATTAAACGGAATTGTTCATTAGCCTTCCATGTTCGCTGTTCGGTGCAAATATTAAAGGGCAAACCTATATATTCGCTTTTTAATTACCACCTGATTATTGCCATCCGAAAATCGTTATCAGCTATTATTATTGTTGGCCAAAGGAGAAGTTTCCTATCGTCAGTTGATGACGTATAAATGCGGTTTTGATAAGAAAGGCGTGGAGTCGCTGTCGTCAGTTTGCCTTACCGACATTTTTTGAAATATATATATCTTGCGGTGGTTAGGGAAAATCTGGCGTTTGCCTTGGCCAATTTAAATGGCTATCTTGTATGACAACCGATATAAAATGATATGGGATATGCTTAATATATTTTAATCGCTTTTAAATTGATTAATGGTATTTGTATTAAATAAAATATTTAATAAGCTTAGTAAATATACCCAAAGTGAAAGAATTCAATGATAACACTATGCAGCATCAAAAATTAACCTCGATGAATGCTATATGTTCGGATTCGTTACGAATTCCCAAGTTAAACTGCGTTTTCCAAAGAGTTCCCCGACGCAAGGATTCTTAGCAAAAGGACCTCAAAGTTCGAAAAATGCTGAAATTGACCAACTTTGCGGAGCTCTCAGAGGCAAATGGATGCATGGCTTGGTTCGAAGTTAAAGTTTTTTAAAAGATACACCCTTTATCTTTCAAACCCCATACATAAAATAATTTTAGGATTTTTTTTAAGGCAGAAATAAATTTCAAAAAACATAGTCAAAAAACTGAAAAACATACATCTGCGGTCTAAATAGTAGCAGTGTCGCCGCCTTGTGTTTTTAAAAGTTTGATGTTGTAATTTTTCTTATCCAATTAGTCTAATAGTAAAATTATAATCAATACAATATTACCAGGAAAATATCAATTACAACAACAAACTTTTAAATACACAGGGCGGCAACACTACTACCATTTTGACCGCAGCTGTATACTTTTATGTTTTTTGACTATGTTTTCTAGAATTTGTTTCTGCCTTAAAAAAAATCTTAAAAATTTTTAAGTATGGGGTTTAAAAGATAAAGGGTGTATCTTTTAAAAAACTTTAACATCGAATCAAACCATGCATCCATTTGCCTCTGAGAGCTCCGCAAAGTTGGCCAATTTCAGCATTTTTCGAACTTTGAGGTCCTTTTGCTAAGAATCCTTGCGTCGGGGAACTTTTTGGAAAACGCAGTTTAACTTGGGAATTCGTAACGAATCCAAAAATATAGCATCCATTGAGGTAAATTTAAAAAGCACTAAAAATGCTGCACAGTGTAATTGATAATCATTTATAAATAGTTTAAATATTCATCACACTTCCGCTTCCTTTTCCTAGCCTAATCTTAACTCTTCAAGTCTGCGCAATTGCGTCTTTTATAAGCCTTTCATTAAGAAACCCCCTGTGATTTGGAAACCACTCCATTTGCCTTTGATTAGATGCGGCTTCGATAATCATGTTATCAATTTTCCTGGCCATTTTATTTGTTTATGGTGGCCAATAGTTAATTAGTCACTTAGGCCATGCGTTCTTTGGATTCGTATCGCTGCTAAAATTCCTCCGGTTGACAGTGCCAAAGAAGTGGGTATTGTAAATTAAATTATACCCACTACAGCCAGGTGATTTTTCTTCGGCGCTGACTCAAGTGCAGGGCGACGAGTGAGTTGCCAACCAGCTGGCTGACAGAAAACGGACGCGGAGTGGCATTGGAAATTGTTTTACTACGGGGCCATTTACAAAACAATTACACTTATTTGTGCCCCATTTAACAGCGCGTCCCTGTCCCTCGACTGACAATCCATCAGCGGCTGCTTCTCCTCATTCAGCGCAGCTCAACGGAACTCAACTCAACGGAACCGAAAGCCGGCAGACGCTACTCGACTTCATTTCGTCCTGACAGCTCTGAGTGGAAATGAACCCCGAGGCAAGGCTCTTCACTATGAAAAATAAGTTATGATTATGATTTGTCATTAAATATCTAATTTAATATTTTGGATAATTCCTGATTTTTAATAAACCTAACTTAAGAAATAATAAATATTTTTATTGTATTAACTTCCTTTTAAACCTTCCTAAAATATATATTTTTAAGTGTACCTATTTCCGTTGCAGAACAGTGGCATCAAAATGACTGCTTAGTATGCAGCTCAGTCAGCCAGCGACAGCTGAGGAACTGCATACCTGCAATGGCAGGTAAATAAAATTAATCATACGCCCCGTTGCACGTTAGCGTTTCTAAAGTATTTGGGATAATTAAATTATTAGCTCCTCTGTTTTTTGTGAAAATTAAGCAAGCGAACATTTGCATTTTCACATTTAGTCAACACCGCTAACATTTTCTTGATTTACTGAAAACATTTAAATATATAAATCATAAACATAAAATCAAGCATTTTTATTACGTGTTGTTGTGCATTAATTTTACTCAACAAGAAATTGTAAAATTAATCAAATTATTGCATGAAAACAGACATAAAGTTTTAATTACTACGATAATTTAAATACCAATCTTTTATCAGCCCAATTTGCAGTGGTTACGACCATTTTTTGGGTGGCTCCCAATGCTTATAAACTTTTACATTTGATGACGTATACGGGCTGTGCCGATAAGTAGAATCTTTATCTAATCGCGTGTATTATATAAAAAATCTTAACCTATTTTTTCTGTAATTTGGATGGTAAACCTTTGTACGTATAAAACTTATACGTTGACTTTTAAAAAATGCTTTATTGGGTCTTCTTAGAAACTTTTCAGTGAACCTTTAAGTTAGTAAAAGTAAGGGTACATTATGTACCATTAAGAAGGACTGTGAAAAAGGGTCATTCTTTGTTTAGCAATTAACTCAATTTAAGACGAAAAACTTTATAAACTGAGTTCTTGGAAACGACGTACTCCGCTTTGTTAAAAATATCAAAAATTTCTGCAATTTCCGTTGGCTTCTTTATTTACCTTTTGCAAAGAAGATTTTTTTTTGCCCAAAACCGTGTTATGCTAACTTGAAAGCGAGGGTGGTGATAACAATTACCTCTAAAGATGGAGCTAATAAAATGCAAGCTAAATTGGCTGGTAAAACAAATTTATTTATCCCATTGCGATTCGTCAGTACGTGGACTACTGTCTATAGAGTCTAATTATTCCTTCTTTTAAAATTTGTGATAATTAAATGATTATCACAATTTTTACTGCAGCTCAAAAACCGAAGAAGACAGCGCCGCCATTGCGAGGCAATTAATTAAATTAACTAGAAGAAAGGTAGTTTCGACAAGTTGAAGTTTGGATACCTTTTCAGAAAAACATTTTATTATTTTCAGTATAGTTTTGAATATTTCAGATATATGTATCTAATAGATACTATCTATATGTTACAGCTGTGCAGCTCAATGATATGGAATGGAAACAAAAAAAATTCGAATACCCTTCGTAAGAGGATAACAATACCAAATTAAAAGTCCCCCTTTCCACTTCAAAGCCCAATTTGCCGAAACTGAATTGATTGAAAATTTGAAAATTAATTGCCAATATCTGGGATATGCAAATAGTCTTATCTGTTGAAGATAGAAAAAGTTTTCTCGGTGCCATAAAAGCATTGGCCAGCCGTCAGTTGTGACCACGTTACAAACGAACCGTTGGGCGCGCAATATGGACTTCCATCTAAACGCCATCCTGCTGGCCACAGTGGCCATCGGTTCCTGCATTGCGAATCCCAGTATCATTACTGGTCCCTTCAGAATGCTGGAGATAATGAGTGCCACCAGCGAAATGCAGCAGAACAACCCACAAAGGAGCGCCGCTTGTTTCAACTACTACGACGGCGTTTTCAAATCCGACTGGGCTGCCTACGAGAATGGATACAATCAGTGCGTGAATAACTACGAGGACAGCCATAAAAGGGTTCTGGAGCGGTACGATCCTATTGTCTGGGATCTCGGCAATACTGTGAAGAGCTCCTGCGGTCATCTGCTCGAATGTCATAACAAGGGCGATAGCCAGAAGTCTCTGTCTTGCTACGCGACTGAGGTAAAGTATCCTTAATAAGAACAAGTCCCTTTTATTTAATATTTGTACTAAAAACTAATTAATTATTATTATTTATTATTTTCAGGCACCAAAACATTCCAAGAACGTAACAGCTGTTGGCTCAAATGCTTCTATTTTCCACGGATCCCTGGGTCAGGAGATTGACCAACTCGTTTATACCCGTGAACTCTGCAGCAATACCTCGGCTCGTGAATACGAGATCCGCTCCGGCGAATCCTACGAGGCGTTCCAGAGCTGCATGGCGGGACTATCTCCAGTGCCTGAAGACCACCCCACCACAACCTACATACCAAACTAAACAGACCAATCCCCTATTTACCAAAATTGGATGACCAACATATGAATTAAAATGAAAAGACTCGAATAAGTGGTGGTTTGTGAACTTATTCACATTTTTTCCAGTGTAAAGGAACTTATTCCTTAAGGTTTTTTGTCAGCAAAAAAACCTTTTTTTCTACTATATTAAATTTCTAAATTTTTTACTAGCGCATCTTATCGACAAGATAAGCAAAAACTTTATCAAGCCTAAGTCTTTAGTTCCGCCAAATTAAACAAATTTTTATTACCAGAATCGTGTTAGGCAAACTTGACATGATAACAATAAAATCTAAAATCTTTGTTTGGCAATAAATTATATTTAACCCATTTCTTAGAACCTGGGAGAGTCTTGAGTTGAAAACACCCGAAAATTCTTTAATTTCCGTTTGCTTGTCTACTTTGGAATCCCCTGTTCTCTCTTTTCACAGCCCAAATTGCTGCAATTTCGACTTAGTCACACCCAGTCAAGGTGTTTTTTTGATGGCCAGTATCTGGGTTATGCAAGCCAGACAAAGGGGAAGTGTCGAGATAAGAACGATATCGACGGATTATTCGCATTAAAAATTCGTATATAATTAGATTTCCAATTATTCGGTTGGGACAACAATTGAATGACCTCTAATCGATGGCAGATAAGGACTGAAAATATATCTAGAATTCCAGGTTGTTTACAGACTGTTAAAGGAAGTACAAGTAGCCCAAGTCCGGTGCGTAGTGTGATACGTCTTATCTGCGAGATAGGAGAAAAGCCCCTGTGATCGCTTAGTTAATGGCAGCTCCTGAGTCTTTTGACTGGCATAAAAGCGATGGCCAGTCGCCAGTTAGGACCAAGTTACGAACGAACCGTCGAACGAGCAACATGCACTCCCATATCATCGCCATCCTGCTGGCCACCGTGGCCATCGGCTCCTGCATGGCCAATCCCAGTCTCATTTCTGGGCCATCGAGAATGATGCAGATTATGAGTGCCACTAGCGAAGTGCAGCGGGCTAACCCACAGCAGACCAACAGCTGTTTCAACTACTATAATGCCATTTTGGAAGCCGACTGGGCTGCTTACGAGGATGAGTACGCACAGTGCGGGGATGAGTTCAATGGCGGCAAACAGGAGGTCCTGGAGTGGTACGATTCTATTGTCTGGAAAGTGAGCAATTCCACCTTCGAAACCTGTGCGAGGTTGCTTGACTGCGATTTCAAGAACAACAGTCAGGATGCTTTGCAGTGTTATTCCGCTGAGGTAAAGTAATTTTAATAAAAATAAGATATCCACAACACACTTTGTTACTATTATTTTCATACTAAATATTAATAAATAATTTTATAATAACTTTCAGGGTCCGGAATCTTCCAAGAACCTGACTGCTATCTCTTCAGATGCTTCTCTTTCCTACGGATCCCTGGGGCAGGAGATACAGAAACTCGATTACACTCGTGAGCTCTGCTGCAACACCTCGGCCCGCAACTACGAGATCCGCTCCGGCAACACCTATACGGAGTTCCAGGGCTGCCTCTTGGGAGTGCATCCCGTGCCAGAAGTTACCACCACCACAACCACAACCAGCAGGCCTACTACCACCACAACTCCCCAGCCAAGCTCATCAACCCAATCAAGCACTGCAGCAGCACCCGCCTCAACTGCCCAACCTACCAAAATATCTCAAATCGATTCCGATGAACACATCAGTGGCAACAGCAAGCACAGACTGGCCCACAAACTGGACAGCATTTACAAACATGTTGTTTAAAAAACGAACATTAATAAAATAAAATTTGAATATTGTAAATATGTCTATACCATTCGCGAATCCATGGGGACTTGTGGGATAAATGTAATGAATATATAAATGAAGAAAAGTAACAGGAAGTGTGGTATAAAAAAATATAATCCAAAATATTGGTTTTGAAATGGCCTTTCACGACGAAATCCTGGATATTATTTCCAAGTCTGCTTATTAAATTGTGGAAACTCGAAAGGTGAAATAAAAATTGTTTTCTTGCGGATTGTTATCTGAGACAGTTTAATATGACGATTATGTTTGATGCGGAATTTAACTTTATTTAATTATTTATTAATTTACTCCATTTAAATTTTAAAACAAGAGTAAACGCTTTCAGCTAAACGGAGTACGAGGGATATGATGATATTCAGTCTTCAAAGATACTGGCGCCAGCTAGCGGCTGTTTAAAATTTTGTTTAAAATTTCTCAATCTTTTCAATAGTATTAGCAAAAGCTTTTCGGATGGTTTTAGCAGGCAAACATTGAAAAACATTACTGTTTCTTCATTAATAATTATTTATTTATTTTTGTGATTATAGTGATATTTGAATAACTAAGAACTAACAACGGGTCTTATGGTACAAGATGCAATATCAGAAAGCTTAAATAGAACGGAAGCTAAATTTGGCAAGCAGACGGTCATTAGCCATGACGACTCGATTAGTGATGCTAATCAATAATATATATAATCGCATACCTTGAATGTTCCGACTTTGTTAGGCAATAAGTTATATTTAGAGCAAATAGCATTATTAACTCAATTCTTGGAACCAGTGAGTTTTTAATTTCCGTTCGTCTGTTTATTTTGGAATCCCCCTTTTTCCTTCACAGTCTAAATTGCCGCAATTTCAAGTAAGTCAGGGTGTTTTTTGATGGCCAATCTCTGGGTGAGCAAAACAGACAGCGGGGGAGTGCCTTGATAATAATGATATCGGGTCATTTTTCGCATTAAAAACTCGTATATAATTAGATTCCCAATCATTCGGCTGGAACAAAAACTGAATAACCTCTAATCGATGGAATTCTAGGCTGTTTACAGATTGTTGAAGGAAGTACAAGTAGCCCAAGTCCGGTGCGTAGTGTGATTGCCAACTGATACGCCTTATCTGCAGCAAGATACGGGAAAAGCCACCGCGATCGCTTAGTTTATGGCATCTCAAGAGCTCGTATAAAAGCAGTGGCTAGTCGCCAGTTAGGACCAAGTAACGAACGAACCGTCGAGCGAGCAACATGCACTCCCACCTCATCGCCATCCTGCTGGCCACCGTGGCCATCGGCTCCTGTATCGCCAATCCCAGCCTCATTTCTGGGCCATCGAGGATGATGCAGATTATGAGCGCCACCAGCGAAATGCAGAGGGCTAACCCACAGCAGACCAGCGGATGTTTCAACTACTATAATGCCATTTTGGAATCGGACTGGGCTGCCTACCAGGAGGAGTACAAGCAGTGTGATGTTAAGTACGATGATAGCTATGGAGCGACCCTGAAGCAATACGATTCGATCGTCTCGGAACTGGACAATTCTACCCAAGCAAGCTGCAACGATCTTATTAAGTGCAACTGGGGGGGCAACAGTCTGCATTCTTTGGCCTGCTATAGCACAAAGGTAAGCAATGCAATATATTTTGCTACAGAGCTGGGCAGTTAATGAAAATTTGATAACAATTTTCAGGGCTCCCGAACGACGAAGAACTTGACCGAAGTTACTTCCAGTGCGGTTGATTTCTACGCATCCCTGAGTCAGGAGATTAAGCAACTCGATTACACCTGTGAGCTGTGCTACAACGCATCGGCTCGCAACTACGAGATCCGCTCCGGCAACACCTATACGGAATTCCAGGCCTGCCTCTTGGGACTGTCTCCTGTGCCAGAGATCACCACAACCACCACCACCACCGGCAGTCCTATTACCAGCACACCTCAACCGGAGTCAAGCTCAACCGAATCAAGTACTTCAGCGGCACCCATATCTAGCTCTTCGGCCGCACCAGCCACAACATCTAAGCCAAAAGAAGCTTCCCATAACGAATCCGATGAAAACAGCAGTGCCATCAGCAGGCAAAGATTGGCCAGCAGGCTGGAAAGTATTTTCAAACGTTATGTTTAGGAAAATAACAGTATTTAAATAAAGTGTACATATTGCAACAAATGTATTAAAAAAGAGCATTCTAAGTCTGCTTGTTTAAGTGTGGAAATTTAAAATTTAAATCATTAAAAAGTTAAAAGCAAATAATGAAAATGAATCTAAATGGCGCTGCCGCTTTCCTGCTTGCATATCTCCATCTCTCTCGCACTGCCTTTAACTGAGTAATGGGTATCTGATAGTAGTTCATTCTTGCCACTCTTTAACTGTTAGGCTGAACACTTCAGGTAATTGAAGGACACGCTGCAGGCGATTGAGAGTTGCTAATGAAAAATGGACTGGGCTCATCTTAAAAGCAAACAGATGGCATCAAGTGATGAAGTCAATCTGGAAACTCAAACGAGAAACTAAAACCCATTGCAACTTACTTAATTAACGGTCCGATCTAGGTGGAAAACCGAGCAGGAAACCAACCTGATGCGATGCAAATAAAACTTTTTGCATTTGCCATCAGTCCAAGTTTATCAAAGATCCGCAGGACAGGAGAGGTGAGGAATGGGCAAGGGAAAAGGTGGGCAAACATGTAAATCAGCCTGGGAAAACTTTACCTTGGGCAGGGCAAACAAAGGGGGTGGTGGCGTTGCACTTTAAGGTAGCGGTAACAGTTAAATAAACAGTAGAGCCATTTTCCTAGCGGTGCTTTTTATTCAAATTTAATTGCATGTGTTGTTATTGTTTGTGCAGCTGCCGGCGGCCTTGTTGTCACTGCAATTAAAACAAATTAGAAGCGCTGTGCAAAGGGGAGATTTCACTTTGCCAAAATAAAGCCAATAACTTGGCAAGTTGCAAGAGTATTTTGTATCCTGCATCCCAGCATTTTGCCTATTGGCGGGGGGAAGGGGGAGGAATCTTGCACACACTCAAAGAACACGCAATTAAGATATGCAAATTAGAAGTTGTCCTTGCCTCGGCAGCTCCCGTATTCCTGATGAAATCTCCACTCCACTGAGCTCTGATAATTATGCAGGGGCATGCGATGAGGATAGCTTTAAGCATGCCCAACTATCTGAACGATTGCTTTTTTTTCGAGGCCATAATAATATCTGAAGTGAGTCATTAAATTTTTACATGTAGGTAATAATTACAATCGAATCTGATAAGGTTGAAGTGCATATTGTTCGGTCATTAGTCATAAAAATTATACAAAAATCAGTAATCAATCTGTGCCCAAATATTGACTGGTATTAATTGATAAGCCTTGGGAAATCCTAAGGCCCATGGCCTACAGTTATTTGTACCCTTTACGAGACACTCAACCTTAGCATGCCTACTTGTCTTTTTTTTTTGCCAAGTCGAAGGTCTTATCGAAATCCATTTCTCACCAATAACAAGCGACAATGACGATAGAATCGAAGTACTCATACGCAGATATTTTATTTTTTAATAGGCTTTGTGATTTTTCTAGGAATCGAGCTTCAATACAGACATACAGACAGCACGTGTGTCTTCTAGAAGAAAAGCACTCCAACTATATTAGATTAGATAATTTCCGAACCACACTAGTTAAAGTCCTAGCCATTTGCGTTCTTTTACTTTCAACTCTTCTCAAAAGAACGTTTTTTTTCAAATTCGGGGAATCCGTATAATTCCGGGAAGTGTTGACTTCGATCGGGTGCTGATCTAACTGAATAAAAATTTTGGGATCGGGGTGGAGGACACCCTTGGGCTGGATTTAACGGGTGGGTCCCGTTGAGTGGCGGTTATAAAACCGATAAGACTGATAACTACGCCCCGGTTTTCGAGATAGCTCGAGTGATTGGCTAAAACCGAGGCAATAACACGGCAATAACATGGTATTTTTTAATGGAAACTATAGTAAGGCAGGAATATTTTTTTATGGACCACTCAACCGCACCGCCTATAAATACTGCAGCTGCCAGGTGCCAATCAATAAGTGTTAATCGATCGCTGAATCAGTGAGGACGTGAAAGTCTAGAAAAATTAATAAAAAAAGTGTTTAGCCGTATACTCAAAATGATAGCCAAGTTGTGCATTGTCCTTTTGGCCGCCGGTCTTAGCCAGATTTTGGCATTGCCATCGCCTGCTCAGCAATTTGACAGGCCGAACACCGACTTGATGCAGTTCCTCCTGCAATCCCGGGACTTTAGTGCCGATGGCGACCACTCCATCAAGTGCATGAACTACTATCTCCCCCTGCTAAACGAAGCCTCGGAGAAATACCAAGCCGAAACAGAGGTGTGCATTGAGGAGTCTGCTCTGAAGATCTCACAGATTAACGACACCACCAAGGCCAATCGAGAAGCTATCGACGCCTCCGCCACGAGCTCCTGCGCAGCCCTCACGCAATGCAGTAAATTGGAAAAGGCCGAGAAGTACTTCGAATGCTACAGTGAAGCCGTAAGTTAGACCCTAAAAAATTCACAATAACTATGCGATTTCCATTCCTATTGCCAACGTAAAATACTCAACTTATTTCACCATTGCAAAAACAGGCAAAATAAGTACTTGCGTTTTTAAAATTTATAATCGCTTTGATTTTCTACACTATCATGATGATTTCTCTTAGATAAACTACGTTTAATGATAATCATGCTGATATCTCATATAAAAACAACCTTTAATCATAACTTTGTACTGATTCTCTTGAAAAAAAGTTGTACTATAGAACTATTATGTTTATCTGTTACTAATTACAAGAGTTATTTTTCCTAGAAATCAGTAAAATTTTATTTTAAAATTTTTAGTTAGTTCTCTATCTATTATGTAGTTTACTAATTCATTTTGTTCTTTTTTCAAAGGGTTCCAACAACACCAAGTCCATGTTTACCATCTCCGCTAATGCCTCCGAACTGCTGGCTTTTGTAAGAGAAGAAATACGTCTCATCGAGGTTGATCAATACGTATGCAGCAACAAGACCTATAGGGCCTATGCAGAGGTTTCTGGTAAGCACTACGAAGATCTGAAACTCTGCATGAGTGGCGCTGAAATTCCATCGTCAACCACGAGCACTCAAGCCCCTTCCACCCAATCCTCAACTGACTCATCGACTGATTCCTCTACTGATTCCTCGACTGCTGCATCCTCAACTGATTCGTCCACGGAATCCTCAACTGAATCGTCAACGGAATCCTCCACTGAATCCTCGACTGATTCGTCAACGGAATCCTCCACTGAATCCTCGACTGAGTCGTCCACGGAATCTTCCACTGAATCCTCAACTGAGTCCTCCACGGAATCCTCAACTGAATCATCGACTGAGTCGTCCACGGAATCCTCAACTGAATCCTCCACGGAATCCTCAACTGAATCATCGACTGAATCGTCGACTGAATCCTCCACTGATTCGTCCTCGACCACGGAAAATTCTGGAGACAACAAGGAATCAGCTCCCGAGGAGGACTTGAAATCGGTGTCCAGTCAGAACAACAGCGACATGCAGCGGATTCTGAAGAGCCTGCAACAATGGCTGAAAACTCAGTAAGCCCTCGCGCCAATTTTTTCTAAATATACATATAAACAAAGCAAACAAAATAAATATAAATTTATAATTTATTTAATCGAAAACTAGAAAATTTCAATGTTTTTTAATTGGGTAATACCCAAAATCTTTGGATGACTCGATAATCGAAATGGGGCTTTGCTAAATTTTTTATAGCTTTAGTTTGAGGGGGAACAACAAATAATAAACTTGAAGCAAAGGGTCGTGTGATTCATTGTATAACCCACTAAAGATACCCCCTGTTATCAATCACTAGTCCTCATTGAAACGGCTAAGTACAGTGTTAACCAGTGCTTGACTGACCGCACACCAGCAAATCAATCTAACCGTTTGGTTGATAAGGAGCCAACTATATTAGCCATTACCAATGCCAGATAAGTGGGCTATTTATGGAGGGTTGGGTCAGAGAAAAACTTATTAAAACTCAAATCGGAAGGAATCTCGACGCCGATTTCGAGAAGACGATAACAACTTAATTAGCTTTTAATCAACGTGAATTAATGATTCCTCAATGACAATTTCAATTGCCGAAATTTTCAATGGATCGGGGCTATAAAAATATGAGCCAAAGACAGTAGCTTTCAGTACGAATTCGAGATCCGTTAAGTCGGTTAGTCAAGTAATATATATAAAATGAAGTGCGCTATTGCAGTGTGCCTGCTTTTGGCCACCAGTGGCTTTGCCCTGGTTCCCCATCATCCCGTCGACGTGGCCTCCATGTTGCTCCGCCAACAGTTCGCCGTCCGCTCGATGATGGCCATTCCCGAGGCCCGGGATGAGTCGACGCTGATCAACGACTGTTTCAACCACTACATGGAGGACCAGACCAACGTGATCATGGGCTACAACCAGCAGTACATGGGTTGCCAGAGGACCGCCCAAACCGATCGGGAGGAGCTCACCAATGAAAGTGCCTCGGAGCGATCGTCTCTTTTGGATCGCACCAGCAATATGTGCAGCAACCTGGCCAGTTGCGATGAAATCGTTGATGGACTGGAGTTCTTCGACTGCTACCGCAGTGCCGTAAGTATTATAATAACTAATTAATTAATTAATTAATTATATATAATAATATTAGTCAGTAGCAAAACTTTTAAATACTACTAATGGCTTGTGAACGGGAAAACACAATGAACTATCTTTATTCCTTTTGGTTTCGGCTGACTCAGAATGTTCCCATTCTTAACTTTTATAAAAACTCAACATTTATAGCTTGATTAGGTTGCAATCAGTAAGCGTGCCATTAATGTCTTAGCTCCGATCCCTTAGTCTATGTAGAGCAATACTAAACCAGTAAAAAAATGAAGTGGCTATTAATAAGAGTCTTTCGAAAATAGAAATGTAATTATTTTGAACTACTTAGTAACAACCTTATCTCCTTTAGTCCTCCGACAGCTACAAGGTGATGTTTACACTGAACAGTGACTCCAGCCTGGACTTCAACCGCATCAGTGCCAAGTATGCAGTGATCGATAGCGATCTTACTGACTGTATGGATACGGCTCGCGCGACTTACGCTCACGACATGGACACCTGTGACTCAGATTTGACCATCTGCCTAAATGGAGGTGTCCCTCCCACCGAACCTTCTCTTCCCACTGAACCCGCCACAACTCCTGCTGCTCCCTCGACACCAACTGAGCCCACCACAACTCCTACTGTTCCCACCACTACTCCTGCTGCTCCCACTGAGCCCACCACAACGCCTGCTGCTCCCAGTACACCAACTGAGCCCACCACAACTCCTACTGTTCCCACTGAGCCCACCACAACTACTGCTGCTCCCTCGACGCCAACTGAGCCCACCACAACTCCTACTGTTCCCACCACTACTCCTGCTGCTCCCACTGAGCCCACTACAACGCCTGCGGCTCCCAGTACACCAACTGAGCCCACCACAACTCCTACTGTTCCCACCACCACTCCTGTTGTTCCCACTGAGCCCACCACAACTCCTGCTGCTCCCTCGACACCAACTGAGCCCACCACAACTCCTACTGTTCCCACCACCACTCCTGCTGTTCCTACTGAGCCCACCACAACTCCTGCTGCTCCCAGTACACCAACTGAGCCTACCACTACTCCTACTGTTTCACCCACTGAGGCCACCACCACTTCAGCTACTCCCACCACTACTCCCGCTGTTCCCACCACTACTCCCGTTGAGGCCACCACCACTACGGCTGTTCCCTCCACTCTTGCTGCCGAAACCACTCCTGCTGCCGTCACCACTGAGCGTCCACCTGAGGAGGACCTTTTCAGATCCGCTCCCTTGTCTCAGAAGAGAGCTTGGAACCTGATCAAGCGTTTCTTTTAAGAGTATAAAATTATAAAGTATTTATTGCATTCATTGGAAAATTTTAGTTACCGTAAAAGCCCCAATAAAAGCGGTTGCTTATAAAGCGTAGAATACTTTCGGGTTCGATTGCAAATTGATTGCTTAGAAAGGTGAAAGCAGTGACACACAAATGATTTGTACGAAGGGGGTCAATATTTAAAGTTTTGTGCAAAGTGGTTATTAAACTTATAGAAACTCCACCAAAATATTTCGTTTTTGGGATTCGTAGGCATACAAATAGTGGGTTAACCCTCCTAAAAGGCTTCCCAATACGTCACTGGGATTACTTATCGCTGATAACTGTACAGACTAATGAATATTATCTGCCTTGTTCTAGCGAGACAAGCGCCACACCATGGGCTACTGGTATTCTTTCGGACTGTTCGATTGGCAGATCGAATCAGAGGGCTTCGAACTAGCGGACGACAGTTGCAATCATTGTACGCGACGGTAGATAAGTAGAGCACCTGAACTTGTCGTAAATAGCTGGCCTTCGGGTTGGTCAATAAAAACCGAATGGGTTTAGAATCGAGTTATTAGGAAATGATCAATTAGCACGGCTCGGCACTCGAACGGCGACGCTGGTTCTTCGACGGCATTCGAGATCGGCGGCCAAATGGAAGCGCTACAGAAATTCGCGAGAACGGAGACCAGCTGTCGCCTCTGCTGGGTACTAACCATACTTTTGTTGTCTCTTTATTTGGGTTCTTCGGAGGGCGAAGAGGGCCTCGTCGATTTGCCCACCCCCGAACCAGATCTTACCATCGACGAGTGCCACGACGAGTTCACCATTGCCTGTGCCAACGCCTCACAGATATTCTCCGATTCCTACGATCTGTGCGAACTGAACGCCAATGAGACCATCGTAAACCTGGATGTCGATGTGGAACTGGAGCGACTGCAAATCGAATTGGGTTCCAGTGCAGTGTGCGGTAATATGCAAATCTGTGACACCTTGGATGACGATCTGGAGTACTTCAAGTGCATCAATGAGAACGTGAGTTGTCTATAACATATCTTTCGAGATTATCACTAGTTTTATCTGGCTCAAAGTCTATAAGAAGTCTATAAAACTAAACGAAACCTGTGCCAGTGGTAAATCAATAAATGTAGTACTTATGGCCAATTTAAGCGAAGCTATCTTCTAAGTGGACTATCATTTATGTTGCACGTTGATAAGGAAGAATAAGTTTATTAAACCTTATTTACGATATATCAAAATGAAAATATTAATATTAATTATTTTGATGTATCAAGAACGTAGGTGCTCTAGCACTCTGAGGGTATTACGTAATTTATTTAATTTACTATACTTTACCTTAAGGGAACTCGAAACCTGGATATCCTGACCGAGATAAATTACAATGCAACGCATGCTCATACACGTCTGCGTGAGGATTATGATGCAGTGCACCGGACTTTCTTGCTTTGCAGCCTGGATGCCCAGAAAAACTACATGGACAATTTGAGGAAGGCCCACAAGGAACTTACAAAATGTCGATCGGAAATCGATGAGCTTAGCGAGTAATTATCGCTTATCTGTTACTATATAAACCAATTGATTAAGGGTGAATAAACACCACTACATAAAGGCAAATTACTCACTGTAATTTACTATGAATTGATATTACCTTTTTATAAGTTTACTATTTTAAGTTTAAACATGAAACAATTAACTTTCATTTTCCTAAAAGGAAATGTGTTTTATAATTTCGTTTTCGAAATTTAAATTTTCAAAAAGTTGGCTATCCTATTACATACATAAATAAAAATAAAATTAAATATAAATATGGTCAAATATTATTTTATACGTATGAACCATATCAATAAAATATATAAAGTTAAAAATTTTGGTGCAAACTAATTTGTATGGTTAGTGCTAACAAATTGTATAAGCATCATCTTTTGATTTATTACAGTAACTATCAAAATGTTTTATTGCAGTTATAAAGAATTTCAAATCGAATGTCACCTTCTACATTCTTGCTCTGTCGCAATTATGTCTCATTCTGCTGTAGACACTTATCCAACGATCGAAAGATGTTATCGGTTCCTTTGACATAATTATGTTCGGTTTGATTTGTGCATCGGTAGTGCTCCATTTCGATGCTACCCAATTTCTTATTTAGGATCAACGCTTGCTCGGCGGCATTAAATGATATATTATAGACATTGGCTAACTGGAGCTTGGTCTGTAGGGAAAATTCGGTTATAAAGAGTTGTAATGGGGGTTGTAAGGAGGCACCCACTTACCATTTTGGCAAAGCAGTTAAAAAAGTCCAGAGACTCCGTCAGTGCCAAACACTGGTCAATAAAGGAACTCATTCTTAAGGCAGCTTCTCTAATATTTTCCTGAGCCTCAGAGGCATCTGTTAGCAGGGACTGTCGCTCATTGGTAGCACTCTTTTGACAGACACTGTATCCCTGTGACCAGGTTGCTCCTTGACTTTCTAGTTCCGGTAAATAGCGAGCAAAACATGTCTTGGTGTTGCCGAGATTGGAAGCCATGTCCTTTCCTTCATCCAAATAAGAGCACAAACTGCTCATGGTTCGCGGGGGCTCAGCTGAGACCTAGAAAAGTCTCTCAAGAATTAATACGAATTTTTAAATATTCTATATTTTACCCCTAGGGCGAAAAGTAGCGTGAGAATAACAGTTTTCATGACACTTGTGGTCACAAACGACTGACCAAAATCGAAGCAAAATTTCCGCCTAAAGTAACCAAAAGTTGGTAATGTAATCTGACAGTGATATATGGTTTGTTTATAGGTTTGCTTATCTGGCGGTACGTCTGCAAATAACGATCCAGTGCCTTCCAAACTTTGATTATAATCGAAAAGTGTTGCATACTTTTGGCTAAGAGAAAAACCTTTCTTATGAAAGTTTGCAGCAGCAATTAATTACGTCAGACTATAAGAAGTTATGGGGAATTTTCCCATAGATATAGGGTTTCATTAACCAATCGTTACAGCAATCGATTCCAGGCAGATCGTAAGCCCTTAAGCTGCTGAACTCGATTCACCAAGTTCAAAGAACCGCGAACAAGGCCTTCCGGTGGTTCCTTCCCTGCCATCTTATCTTGCTATCAGCTTTTGACCCTGAATACACGTGTTTGGCATCAAATGGGAATGCACATGCAAAGCAATTTGTGGGTCTGGGCATTACGCATACGCATTAATACCCACCTAATTGATCGACGCTCGGTAGCAGGAAAATATTCACAAAAAAATATCATTCCGCCCGAACGGATCAATCATTCGCCCCGTCGCCCCGTATATAAAGCATTTGTGCCTGTTCCTTGGCAGCGACAGTCAAGATCGAACCGCCAACGAAACGACCGCAATTATGAAGCTTCTGTGCAGTGTGCTAATCCTCGCCAGCGTTCTGGCCGCCAACGTAAATTTATAAATTGATATCCGTTCCGTTTCCGGTGGTAACCAGTTCGGCTTTCCCATTCGCTTTCCAGGCCAAGCCCAATGTCCAGACGCAGCTGCAGAGTGCCTTGAGCCAGTACTTGGTGCATGCCCGCGACCTGGATGTCTCTGTTTCCGCGGATGTGACCACCCAGTGCTTCAACCTCTACCTGCCCATGCTAAACGAGGTGGCTGCCACCTTCTCCACCTCCTACCAGGCCTGCATCAACACCGCCAACGCCGAGACCGCCAATCTGACCGCCGAGGCCGATAAGCAGCAGACCATCTACAAGGCGGAGGTCACCAGCCTCTGCAGCGCCTTCACCGCCTGCAACAGCGACAACGACACCACCACCTTCTTCAACTGCTACGCCAGTGCGGTGAGTTAGGATTCTTCACTAGGAATATTACATAATCAGTACATTGGATTACCTTATGCATGACCTGTATGGTCAAAAAATACTTTTAACAATGAAGCAATATTCGATGTAGGAATTTTTAAGAAAATCTCTTTTCTATATTACATCTATCGTTTAGTTAGGAACATATTTAAAGTATAGATGGTTGTAATAGTTAATCTCAAACAATTTTCTCACATTTAAAAAAACATAATAAACCTCTAAAACTATTAGAAAAGTAGGTACTCATAAAAGATTAGAGGAAATTCATACAAAATTTCCAAAAGTATATCACAAAACTTTTAGAGGACTACTAATAATGAGTCTATGTAAACTTAAACTTTTTTTTTTTAAGATAGTATTTGTTTCCTAATATAAATTATACTCTTTTCTTTACCCCAGGCCGAAAGTGATGTGTCGGTGATCTACGACATTGCCACCAATGCCGCCAGCTCGGCCAGTACCTTGAGCATGGGCATCAAGGCCATCCAGGACACAGAGTACCAGTGCACCAACACCACGGAGAGCAACTACGTCCGGGATACCGCTGCCACATACGATCTGCTCGACAGCTGTCTGAAGTACGGAGTGCCCACCACATCCACCACCTCCACCGCTGCCCCCTCCTCCTCTAGCCCCGTTGCTAGCTCGAGCGGGGCTCCTGTCACTGATGGCACAACTGTTGTTGCATCCTCCGCTGTGACCACCGCTGCCCCCGGATCCACTGCTCCGGTGACCACCGCTGCTCCTGGAACCGCTGCTCCGGTGACCACAGCCGCTCCTGGCACTCCGGCTTCCTCTTAAGCCACTAATTAGAGTAATTGCAAGCAATAAATGAGCATTTGAAAAACATTAATTGGGTGTTCTTTAAACATTACTCAGAAATTGGGGAAGTTAACTTTTGTGATGAGATGAGATTTAGCAGATAGTTAGAATGGAAATATGTTATAATATCTACAATCACAAAAAAAAAGACAAAACAAACGGACATATGTTAGTTTAAATACGAATAGGGATTTTTTATTTTAAATTTTTGTAAATTTATAAATATTTTAGGGGCTTAGCATTCAGTCCTAACATAATTTGGCTTCATATATAGTCCAGCTATGCAATGCAAATATGGGTTGACATGTGTTTCTTTATAAGCTTATGATACAAAAATAAATTAAATTAAATTTTAAATAATACAAATATTTAATGATTGAATAAAATAATCCAACCAAGGCGAATTGGAAGAGTTGTCAGTGACGCCCTCGTACATGAGTGTTAAAAAATTTACGCATAAACGCAATAACATGTACTTTCCTTGTAGATTCAAAGTATTGCATACTTTTAGCCAAAGAGAAAAATTCCAAGCGAAAGATTACCTGTGCAAATAATATTTCAATGTGATACTATGATAACTAGGATTTTTCAAAGATATTGGGCCATGTTACCCAATGCTTACAACAATCGATTTAATGGATCGTAAACTTTTAGGCCATTGAAATACCTTTGATAACTTTAAAGAACCGCTTACTTGGCCCACCGTAGGTTGTTGGCTATCTTGTATTGTTATCCGCATTGACTCACCGAATTGGAATTGTCTGGACATACGCCTTAATTCTACCTAATTGATCGCCATTCAACAGCAGGAAAAAATCACACAAATTTCAAGTTGGCCAAACGGATCAATCATTTGCCCTGCCAGCGACGTATATAAAACATTTAGACCTGTTCTTTGGTAGCGACAGTAAAGATCCAACCGCCGACATGAAGCTTCTGTGCAGTGTACTAATCCTGGCCAGCGTTTTGGCAGTTCAAGTAACCCTACCGCGATATCCGCCTAAATTTTTGGAGTTAATCATTAATATTCGGCATTTACTCTTCAGGCCGCACCCAATACGCAGATCCAGAACGCCTTGAATCAGTATCTGGTGCATGCCCGCAATCTGGATACCATCGTTTCTGAGGATGTAACCACCCAGTGCTTCAACCTCTACATGCCCATGCTAAACGAGGTGGCTGCCACCTTCTCCAGTTCTTACCAAGGTTGCATCAGCACCGCCAATGCCCAGACTGCCAACTTGACTGGCCAGGCAGATCAGCAGCAGAAGACCTACCAATCGGAGGTCTCCAGCCTTTGCAGCGCCTTCACCTCCTGCGATAGCAACAATGATACCACAAACTTCTTCAACTGCTATGCCAACACGGTGAGCTAAATAGGAAAAAATATTTATATTGAAGAAAATTAAATAATTTAATTTACCACAGGCTCAGAATGATATCACCGTAATCTACGACCTCGCCAGCCAAGCTGCCAGTTCGGCAAACTCCTTGACATCGGGCATCCAGGCCATCCAAAACACAGAGTACCTGTGCACCAATGCAACGCAGAACGCCTATGTCCGGGATACGGCTGCCACCTACGATCTGCTGGACAGCTGCCTAAAGTACGGAGTACCGGCTAGTACTGCCACATCCACCACGCCAGCCCCCACCACTTCCACCACGGACGGTTCCTTCTTCTTCGATCTTTGATTGTTCCAATGAAATAAATCGAAAAACACACACGTTATTCCATTTGTAAAGAACGTGGGTACTTAGGAATTAAATATAATAACAATGTGCACTTAAGAAAAATATACTAAATATTACAAATTCCGGTTTTATTCTTGTTGTTCATAAATCAATAATAAATTTATTAAATTAAAATGGCTAGTATGTTTATATTTGACATGATCATCAAAAAAATATATTTTTTTGCATTACAATTGTTAAAGAAAGTTTGGTGCCCTTTTTACAGTGTACAAATGTTCTCACAGATTTAATCTCGAATTGCCTAATTCTGTGTAATATTCGGTTATTTCTAGCGCCATCAGGTCGTTTGGCTAGACACTTGGAGGCGTGGCAGACAGATGGGCGTGTGGGCACCCATAAGCTTCGGCGGAAAGTTTCCAACCTCTCTCAGAGAAGAAAGACAATCGGCCGAACTTACACCTTTCGAGCGAGCAGCGAGCTGGCACATATAAATATTCAATCGGAGGTGGCCTTATCGGCGATACATTCAATTATCTCTCCGGTTTGCGGCTGCTGACGCTTTAAAGGTTGCCACCACACACTGGGTTGTGCTCAGTCGAATTTTGTTCTCGGACCATTAAACATTCAACATGGCAGGCCAGCGCATTGTAGTCGTCGCATTTGCTGTTTTTCTCGCCGGATTGTGCGTGCTGTCCGGTCTGAATGTAATGAAAATGAAAATGAGACGTGGGTGGTGACAACCGAGTAACCGTAACCCCATCCCCTCTTCGTTTTCCCCCTTTAGGCGGCGCCCGTGGAATGCAATAACGGCGATGGAACCCAGATCTCCGAAAATGGCTATCAGAGTCAGACGCAAACCGGTCCCGGCTGCCAGTCGCAGACCTCCGAGGACGGATCCCAATCCCAGAGCCAGAGTCAATCTGGCGGTGGCTACCAGTCGCAGACGCAGTGCAGCGGATCCTCCTGCGGTCAGTTCAGCCCCTTGCCGCCCCTGTTCACCCTGAAGCCATTCGAGCCATTCGAGCCCATGCAACCCCTTACTTTTCAGCCTTTTGGCCCCGTGAGGAGCAGCCAGGTGCAGCAGCGGACAAACTACGATTAAGGTTCTTAAAGGGCTAAACTCAATAAAGATTGCTTTTATTTAATATAACACTTAAATGAGGTTTATTTATTTCACAAGTTTATTATAAATTGTTTCAGATTGTAGAGAGTTTTTATTAACTTATTAAAGTTATTTAAGAAGCATTGAATAAAAAATAGTATAAAAATTATTGTTTAAGTAATATTGAATAATAAAAACATTCATTTGAAATTTAAGACTTGATTTAAGCTGTTAAATTTAAAAGTAGCCAAGTATTGTTAAAAAATATCCATGACACACTTTCTAAATTTAAATGTTCATAATTAGAAGAACAGTGTTAATTCGTAATTTTTAAATATTTTGGGAATCTATTTTTGTGGCTTAGCTTAATTGTTGAACGAAAAACCTATTGAAACCGCAACCTTAACGCAAAGTTAAAAATAACAAAACTAATAAAAACAAAATTTCTCTTTTCACGTGTCTTAAAAATTTATATTTTATGCAAAGCTTGACTTCTCTAAGCCTACAAATTCGCATTTTAAGAATGCTTAGCATTCATATATGTATTGATAACAATAGAAAAAATTCCAAATTTGTTTGGTGTAAACAAAAAAGCAAAACGATCTTGAATCAAGATGCTTAGTCTGGCGGTTGTCTAGCTTGACTTGATCTCGCAATTCCATATGACTCATTCATCTTGTTTTGGCACAGTCAGATTTATTTACATTTTTAGTCATTTGGGGTAGATTAGCAGCGTTTCGCTTAACTATTGTGTGTGATTAGTACACTGATCGGGCATAAATAATCTAGCAATGAGCTTTTGTGATCCGAGCAGTCCAAAGATAATCGCTTTGATTTGTGAAAATAATTTATTTTACACTTCAGAACAATAAATTGTTTTGCAAAATTTAACAAAGTATTAAAGAAAATTATTTTTAATACATATTGATTTATACATTTTTTTAGTTACCGATACGGTTATTTATTTTATAAATTCTTTTATTACTGATATTTCTGATTTCTATTTGAGAAAAGTTGTTTAAGTTTTTAAAGCTCCCAAGTTTATTTATCCAAAAATGTTAACCATGATTTTTGACAGCCCCCCACGCCAACTTTTGCTTATCACTTAAATCCCTTGGATTGCAACGCCAGAAAAGCAAAAATAATGATGAATGTTCGCCAAAGTCTCGTCTGTGGTTAATGCAATTTTTTGTTTTCCTGTCACTTTTGCCGCTGTCGCTGCTGCAGATAAAACTTTTATAATGCGCCCCGAACTTTCGCGCGATGTGCGTCGCACGATGCGCGGTGTGCCATCAGTTTTGGCAGGCACTGTGGCACCTTCTTCGGCCTTCGGCGACGTGTGTAAGTAATTGTGGCTAAAAGCAAAAAGCACCACAATAATCAGCGGCAGGAGGATATCGTCAAGCGCTGACGTTGCCGCCAGCTGGCTTTTAACTCATTTTCTGATTAAAATCTGGGCCATTAAGCGTGCCAGCTCGAATCGGACTAAACTTTTTTAATGGCCCTGACAATAGTTGCCTTTCCGTTCCCGTTCTCGTTCTGATCCTGATCCTGCAGTGCGGCCGCAAAAGGACGCGCGAAAATTGGCGCCTGCAACGAACGATGTTGGTCACGACAGGGTGCAGAATTCGGTGTAAAATTAAATTAAAACTGCCAAGGGAGAACGAGTTGTGGAAATCGTTGTGCAGGCAGAGAAATTACGACCCCTTTTTTATTTATTTTTTTAGTTACCATATCAGTGGCATTTTAAAGCATCAGATTACGATTTTAACATATCTACCATTATGACTGGGGGGTAGTAACATACCTCGATAAGGCTATAAATATAAATAAGCTGTCTGCTATCAGTGGCATGTCATTTTTGGCTTAAATATATTAAAATTTAAAGCATAGAAATGATATTTAATTTACTATCTACTATAAGGTGACTGTAAGCTTGACCTGGGTTAAGTTAAAATATTTACCTTTAAAATTCTCCTCTTATGTGTTACTTATAATGATAATTCTTATCATTAACTTAATTTATTCCTTAATACCCAGTAACAAGACCGAAAACTTCGAGATATGCTAATTGATTTCTGTTTTTTTCTCTGTGTGGCTAAAAAGCGAGTCGAAAGCTGTGAAAATATTTGCGAGCCCTCAAGGAGAAGCTTGGCCAGATGGGCGATAGTGGTGAAAGCCAGCAGGATGAGGAGCAGAATCCGAAGGAGAACTCTCAGCGCCAGCTGTCAGCGGCTGCCAGAGCAACGATGTCAATTAGTTTTTGAAGCGATGCTGACCTCCTTGGACCTGGACCTCCTTCCCCATCTCCATCTCCTTTTCAGCCTCCTCCGCCTCCAAGTTGGCCGTCCTTGCCCTTTGGCCAAGTCAAGTTGGCTTTAAGTTAATTGCACAAGATTTCACTTTGCACTCGCAACACTGCTGCCTGGTGCTACTTCCGTTTCCTTCCGCTTCTCGCCATTTTTTAATCAAGTTAAAAGTTATTTTTAAATGGAGTGCGAGCGAGAAATATGCAAGCGCAATGCAAATATCAGCAAGAGCCTCGAACTGTGGTCGCATCAATGGCAAGGCTGCAGAAAGAAATATTTATCTACTGATTATTTCATGTGGCATCCGAGGCCAAATTGGTTTTGCCACTCGAATACCCCCCACCTCGTTAATAAATGCATGTTTTTAACTGTTTTCGTCACATTTAATTTGTGAGAAATTCATATGCCAAGCTGCGCATTTTTTGCAATCAAGTAAATTAAATACCCACGAAATTTTGTGGACAGACGAATTTATCAATCAATTGTATTTACGATATGCAAAATGTGATAGTGCAGTGATGTCCATTTATTGGAAATTGATATTTACATTTTTAAATATCGAAATAATTGAGCTAGTAATTTAATTCCTAATTTATTTTACTTTTTGGTAATTTTTGGCAAAACATTTTATTTTCTAACCTTTTTATAAAAATGCTAGAATTCAATTTTCCAAAAAGTGAGTGTAAGTTAGCTGTCGACTTTGTTACTTGTTTTCAGTATTTATTGTCTTCTTGTTTTCGGTTAAATAATATTTATGTGCGGCCTATCTTTTTCACCTGCCTACTGTTTTTCATTTGTCATTCGGTTTGCCTCTTTTTTATTTTTTATAAATTATCTTTGGCAGCCACACAAAGACACACATACCATTCCCCTCGAAAGCCTCGCAAAGCTGTAGCTATTTTCGGGTGCTTTACACCTGCAAAGAGCCTTTGATTGATGATACAGGTAATTGATAAGGCGCCTTTAAATACCTCAGCTCGCTTTTTCACCTACCCCCCGGCTAATTGGCTGCTAAGTAGGTGATGTTTAAAAATATTTTAGCGAAGCATTCTCGTACACCTTTCTCATTTCGGAGCGGGTCTTTGGCTAATTATGCACTCAAAGCTTAGTCAACGAGCTCGTTCCGGGATGGTTTGAGCTAATTAGAGCGTCCAACGTTAATTGCAATTTGCACTGGCTGGTGAGGAGGGTGGAGGCGGGGGAAGGGAAAAAGGGAATTTTCCAAAAGGGGAGGAAGGAGCGGGAAAACCCAGTTTGCCGGTTACGAGATGTCGCTCAAGTTCTTCAGCTGTTGCTGTCGTTTTGGCGGCGTTGTCACGTTTTCGGTGGCTGCGATTCTGGATGACTTCATTTCTGGATGCCACAGATGTTGCACTCGGCATGCGATTTGCACTTACGTGTGAATGAGAGGGAAAGAGCGGACAGAAAGGGATTGAGGATGTACACTGAGATTAACAATTTGTGATTTAGTGATGATTAAACTGGCAAGGTAAGTCGTAGACAACTTCCTTTAAATTTTACTTTAATTTCAGGATAGTTTTTCTCTTAATAATATTTAATTATCATTTTACTGAAGTAGGTAACAGAATTATTCCTAAATTAACAATATATTTTTCCAAGTGCAGAACTAAAAAGATATAGCTCCCGTTGTAACCGAATCTTGTCTGCCTCTTCTGTCTGAGCCAGAGCCGAAAATTTTCTAATTTTCTACTGCAGTGATTTCGCATGCACAGAGAGTTGCATGTCCCTCCTCCTGATTTTCCCACTTTCCCCGCTTTCCCACTATATTTCCTGCCGATCCCTAGGGCAAGTTCCACTGATTTATGCGCATCAATAAGTTCTCTGAGTGCGATACTTATGCGAAATGTGCCGCAATGAGACGTGGACTTGCCCATGGCACGTTCGCCTGCAGTTGCTGTCCACCATCCCTTCCCCCGATTTTCCCCACTTTCCACCTCCTGCTGTTTCAGTTCCAGCTGCTAAAATAATGATTTGCATTTCGATTTGGGGCTCGATTTCGATTCGGATTTGGCCGAGATATATGGGTGGGGAAAACGAGAAGAATGGCTCAGCTTGTTGGCTGGCTCTAATGAGAGTACCCTGCACAGGGAGAAAATTGTGACTCAAATCGGTTATAAATTGGAAAAATAATTACGATAATATCTTGTGAATTAACTAATTAACATACAATAATTATCATTAAAATGTCTTATAATAATTCTTATTATCTAAAAACAAAATAATGAGTTGTTTTGTTCCCTCTAACCTTTTACATGGTAACATGTCAGATTGTTTCCTCAAGATTTCTGAATATATTGAATAAAATTTGGTATTAAAATAAGAAATCAGAAGCAGCCTTTTTTTGGGGTGTAAGACCTCCTCCTAAACGGCTTATCGCTTTCTGGGGGGCGAAAGCCAACTGGCCAGCCAAATAATTCATTTTCGCCTCTTTGTTTGTTGGCCACGTTTACGGTCGTCGCTTATCTTAATGGGTCAAAGGTTATGACCAGCCTTGAGATGAGACAGTCCCAGCTTCCGCCGACTGGAATGGCTGACCATCAGCAGACATCCTTTGCATTCAAAACGGCGCACCACAGTGGGTCCACCACAGAGAACTTCGGGGTCCAGAGATTAGGCGTGCTTATAAGCAGATTTATGGATCGTCAGCGGGAAAACCTTTTAGGCCCCGTCCACTCGATTTGGCAATAAACACACGATACAACGCGGCGACTGCAGAGCCAG